TTTCATTCTCTAGCATTTACAACATCACTCACTGTCTACCCCAAAACACACAACACAAAAAATAAGGGACAAATTTGATTACCAGAGGGTCAACAGCCCATTTAGGAAGAAAAGAAAATGGCTCATTAAAGTCCTTATTACGCTATACAGAATGCATGTATTCAAAAAGATGAAACTATTTGTGCTCAATAGTTTCTGTTGGGAAGAAGACATAAGAACAACTACAAAAAAAGAATTCTGCACTGTCAAATCTCCTTAGTCCCTGCAATGTTCCACAAGTCATGATTTTAAGATTCTATTTTTGTCTAGCCAGTCATGGAATTAAAGGGGAACTTGCCATTCTCTTAGTTGAGTGCTGGTACTGTATGTCTAAGTGACTACAGGAGGAAGTTCAGCGTAATCAAGGTTTTGTGAGAACTTTTTGCCGGTTCTGGTCTGAGAGTATGCTGAGCACATTTTGGCTGCCGTTTCTCTATTGGTATATTTTGCAGTGTTTTTAATCTTTTAATTTTTTTTTACATACACTTATCTCTTTTTATCCATCTTTTGATTTTATTGTATTCATTGCATTCTATCTGCTGCATCTGTTTCATTCTAAATGCTGTGCATAACTGAAATCTAGCAACAGCCAAATGAGTTTGTTTTATCAAACTGTCTTCATGTTATACTTATGTATGGAATCCCCACTCTGTTGGTCACAGTGGTGGTTTGGCTAGTCTGCAGGAAGGATATATCAAGGAGCTATTTACTCTGTCACCTCCTTGACCTTAAACTTTGTGATTCCACTCCATTGTTGAATTAACTTGTTTGTCATGCTTCTAAATCCTGCCCTATAAAAAATCTGAACTATCTGAATTACTTACAATATTAAATATGATGACCTGTCCAATACTAATGCATGGTGATTTAAATATTCATGTTGGCTCTTTGGACTGTATATTTGCTTCTGCACCCTGGATGGGATGCCAGTCCATTACAGGGCATACACAAACACAAACATTTTAAAATTATCCACTGTGCTGTTGGATGTCTGTTGCTAGTGTTGAAATAAAAGTGCGACACTTTTATTTCAACATAATACACTGAATATACTTAGTTAAATACATTTTTGAGTCTATTTCATACTCATTAAAACACTAATTGACATATCTATGCAGAAGCACTAAGCTATCCTTCTTTATTTTTAATGAAACCAGTATTATAGGCTCCTTGTGTATTTATAGTTATATTTCTATTACTAATATAGTACTTCTCCATTACTGTGGAATATTATTCCACAATGAAGCAATAACTGAAATAGTTTGGCATACTGAATCAAATTGAAATGTGTGGTCTAAAATATAAACTGATCTAACAAAACAGAAACTTTGATGTAAAATGATCAACTCTGGAATATGATATTCAAAATAAAGAGACTGCCAAGCAGAAACATTCATGTGCCAATTCGAGATTCTATTTTTTTTTAATTGCTTTTACAGCTGGATCTGTGGAAGAAATTAAAGTCATGAAAAACTTTTAAAAGTCACAGGAACTTTGTTTCATGCTATCTTTTATATGCCTTCAGTATTAAAACCAAATCAGGATGATATAAGCAGAACTAATTTATTTTCCAAGAATACCATGAAGACAGCACAAGCATATTAAGCAATATATATAAATATATACTGTATAAAGCCTCCATACACATTGCTACACAGATTTAGCAAAACACCGGAATGAAGTCAAACACCTCCCATGGCCTCCCCAATCACCAGATCTAAACATCATTGAACCTTTTTGGGAAGTTCTGGAACATAGATTGTAGAGAAGACGTCCACCTCCTTCATCTCTGAAGGAACTGGAAATACGTTGGCTGTTCGTATCAGTGTGAACAAAATTTATTTAAATCTTGTAGCTGTTCAAAGGAACAAGTAATAGATTTATTCCATGCTGAAAAGAGGAGAAAGAAAACACAACGTTTCGTCTGTTGAGCCTTCTTCAGCAGTGAGGTGTGTTGTTTAAACTCAACTACATTGAAATCTAATGCAACTTTACCACCCATCATTCCTTACGACAGGAATCACAACAAAATCATACATTTTATCTTTATTTGAAACCAATTTGAAATTATGAAGTATGGAAAAATGCAATTTTAATTACATTAGATACAGAATAAGAGAGGACAAATGACACACAGTGAAAAAATGGACCAAAGGCTGGGGCTGTATTGGTCACAATGGCCAGATGATCTGTAAGTTTGGTGAATTTTTATTTCCTTGTTTTAACTTGCCATTTATCAAAGGTTCTTTGACAGAAACTTGTTAATTACTACACAGCTCAGAAGTGGCATGTGGGGTTGTGCCTGTGACCAGGAGGGGAATTCTAGAACAGGGTGCGAATACAGGTGTAACAGCATGTTAATGCTCTGTTACACCTGGTCATGTGTATTCAACCAGTACCTCAGTGAGTCCTGAGCTGTTAAAGGATCACTTCCAACGTTCTGAGAACGAGACATGAGCCCTTGTTAAGAGGGCTTTAAAAAGCTCCAGTCTGAAGAAGTCAGAGAACTTTGGAGAAGGAAAGATTACAAGACAAATAACAGGGAGGAGACCCATGAAAGGACACGGACACCAGGGGTTCTGGCATCTTCTTCCTCCTCCCCTACCGAACATTAGACTTTGAGAAATTAAAGTAGGGGAGGGGCATAAGGGACCATGTAGTTTGGGACAACCATAACTGGAGATGTTGCCTAAGAACCACCAAATGAAGTATACAGAGATCAATGCTGCTGGATTTTTTGTCTGGTACAGGTTATTGGGTTTGGCTACTGGGGTTGCTGGGGTACTTGTGATAGTCTGGAATGTGTGTCCTTTGATGATAGTTTCCTGTGGTGATTATTTCCCACCTGAACGAAAGCTGATTTGCATCTCTTTTGTACTTGTACTTTTTGTACCTTTGTGTAAAACAGCACATTCTGTTGGAGCCGCTCAGATTACATAGCAAAACTCATTACCATGTCAAGATGACTTTGACGTGTCAAGGTACACAGTCCACTGAATCTTTACTAGCCAAAGAAGATCAACAGGTGGCACTTGTGGTACATTAGATGCTAGCTAAAATATTAGCTTCATTTAATTTGTAGTACTACTTCTTTAAATTCACTTAATATGAAGCACTAATATGAGATAATAAAACTAAGGGACATTTTGGTAGCTGAAAATAAAAATACGTTTCTTAACATAATTAATTATATAAATTTATGAAAATAAATATTATATAGGCCAAGTTATAGGTTTCTTCCATGCTGAAAAGAGAAGAAAGAAACCACAACGTTTTGGCTGTGGAGCCTTCTTCAGGTGTGAGAAAGACAGGGCAGACAGAAAAGATTAAATAGCATAGGAAAGGATAACAAAAGCTGGGAGAGTGAAGGAGGCGGGAGCAGGGGAGAGACAGAGAGGCAACTCAGGTTGTTTGAAGTGGGGAGAGGTGAAGAGAGGGGTGAAGTAGAAACCTACATGTGAATAGGGAAGATTACACAAAAACAAGACTGTCATTGAGAGAAAGGGGAAGGTGTGAACCAAGTTTCAGGATATTTTTTTGTTTTTCGATGCATTTCTGCTATGAGAGTTGTAGAAAGATATAAGTTGTGAAAAAGGGGTTAACTGATTTCTTTCTGCACAAAGACATCTTGTGACACAACTAACGCAGGAGTATGGAGGTAGGCACCACCCACTGGGATACTGTACTATTCGGGAGCATTAGATGCTGTAGCCAAAGGGTGGGGTGCATGAAGATTTAAGAAGATATAATACTGTTTACCGATGGGTCCTCTCTGGTGCATGAGGAAGAGCAGAGAACAGGCTGAGCTGTTATGACAGAATTCGATGTGCTAACGACCAGAAAGATGTCCCTCCCCACTGCCTCAGTGCAGCAATCCGAGTTGAGAGCACTGATTGAAGCTTGGAAATATGCTAAAGAAAAAACTGTAACAATTTATACCTACAGTATATACTGTATGTATTTGGTGTATGTATGCCAACATTTTGGATGGCTGTGGAGGAATAGGATTTCCTCACCACAGCAGGGACTCCAGGTAAGAATGCTGGGTTGGTCTCTGAACTGTTAGAAGACTTGCAGCTGCTAACTGAAGCTAACAGCTGTGGTACAGTGTAAGTGACATAATTAAGACATGATTCCAGTAACTCGGGGGAACAACTGTTGGTGAAAAAGGGAAAGCTACATGACATTCAGGCTGAAGCCTCTACAACAGGGAAATGGACGTGGTTAGGAAAAAATGTGGGGCTGCATGATTATGGGGTGTGGTGCTGCCATCACACCAGACACCCAGCATGCCCTCACAGCCTAAGCTTTTGTTGCCTTCCATTGGACACCCAGGTGTGAGTCAAATGGTGCGCTGGTTTTCCCAAAACTGAGTGGGGACTAGGTTTAAAGCAGTAGCCACTGATGTGGTATCTCAATATGATGCTTATCAAATGAACTGAACTACAGCTCAGGTGTGGGTGCGATGGCTCAAAAGGCCTGCCACTGAGGGACCTTTCATGCACTGGCGAATTGACTACTGTAGCTTGCCAATATGTAAAGGGAACACTGGACTCTTAATGATGGTGGATCTGTTCTCCTGGTGGTTTGAGGCCACTGCCTCTGTGACTGTGATGAAGATAATCCCTTGGTGGGGACTGCCCTGCCGCTTGGATTCTGATCTAGGGAGATACTACACTGTAAAGGTGTGTCAGGCTGTAATCACCTCACTGGGAGTGAGGTGGGATTTACAATGCCCACATCACCCTCAGTCTGCGGGGATGGTGGAACGAATGAAACTCTGAAAGACTGACTGATGAAATATCATGCTGAAGGAACACCATGAGTAGATGGTCTACCTGCGGCCCATGTAACCTGCGGGTGGGATCAAATTTGGCTAATGGATCATTGAGTTTGCTAACTAATTCTCTATTGCAGTATTGTAGTTGTTAACTGAAGCGGTGTGCGGGGCTCATGAACAGGTGCTGGAAGCTGGGGACCTCCGGTAGGGGGAGGACACGACCTGATACCTGCCAAATGGGTGCGAGTGAAGAAGATACCCTGCCAGACGTTGCATCCCTGTTGAGAGGGTCCATATCAAGTTCTGACTACTGACTCTGCCATCCGAGTGACAGGATGAGATCTCTGGATCCACTCGTCGCACTGTCACTGAGCCACTGCACCAGAGAGTGAGTGAACAGAAAGAAAGATGTTGTTACTGTTTCTGTGAATGACTGTGGGCCAACAGTGTGCTTGTTAGGCCTGAGGAGCATTACTCTGATATTGGGGAATATGGTATCAATACATTCCAGGTGTAGTCATATCTATCAGCCACAAATAATAATCAGAGTTCATGTTGGGTCTAATATATATTGCTATACCGAGATCCTGATGATAGATCTCCACATGGCTGAGGTCCATGATTCCAAGTGCAAGATAGAGACCCCCTAACTAAGGAAAGATAAAACCAGCCATTCAAAGTAGTCAAGGTCTTGGGAATGTCCAAACACAGGTGACCGCCCCCCCATTACCACTGTAACAGTTTGCGTCAGGAATGGCTAAAGTTTGCTATATAAACTGGAAGTTTTGTACCTATATTCCAAACAATACTTTGATCTTATTGTTCCTTGCATGCAATAAACTCAGTTGTTTAAACTTCATCTCGGGACCCAGAACTTATTTGTCTGTTACAAAAGAGTTAAAACCCCTCTTTGAGAACGCAGAAGGAGAGAACAGTGTGATCATGGCCATCTGAGGTGAAATGAGAAACAATGGGCTTGGAGAAATCTTTAATCTTCATAGCCCTAACATGTTCTCTGAAGCGGTCTCCTAGTCTCCTAACCTAGATAGCTGGGCATTTCCAGCAAGAGATACAGTAAATGAGGTTTCTGGAGGTACAATAGGTCGCCTGGGTGATCCAGAATTGTCCTGAGGGGCCTTGAATGAGTGTGGTGTTAGATATATACTTGCAGGTGATACAGCGAGCTCTGCTGCAGGGGAAATTACCTGATGTGGATGATTGTAGAAGGTGGTCAAGGGAGCTGTGAACAAGAACAGATTAGGTGGTAAGCAATATGAGATGATGGGGCAGTCAGAAAAGAGGGCCCCAGTGGAGGGATCAGCCTGTAGGATGGAAACGTTGTACTTAATGGTCCTGGGGATAGAAAGTGTGTTAGGGTGGAAGGGAAACACCAAAGGAGAGTTGATAGTCCGGGGGCTGTTTATGGCTCGGATGAGGGCAATAACGTCATATATTATATTTATTTCAATGGTTGTGCTAGGGTAGATACACTTTTTCTAGAAACGTGTGTAAAATTCTTTGACTTGTTCACTTGTGGTTATTTTGGAAACATGTTGATGTGCTCTTTTTAACTACATTTGCTGTCGTGATTGTTGCAATGGAAAATGTAAGGCTTGTATCTGTAGTTTCATCAAAATTTATGTAGAAAATGGAAAAAGTAACTATTGTAGTATTTAATTTAAATTGTTGAACCCGAGGGACAGTTTGTTTCAGTGGTAGAGTTTTTCCCTGTGAGCTAGAAGGTTCTAATTATGTTTAAGACCCTTTCCCTAATAAATAAAGATAATAGTATAAAAAGGAGTTTACCTTACGTATTTTTGTTTAATTGTTTAATTTATTGACATTTCCATTATTTTTTATATATAAAATCTTAAAATCGTGTTAATAATAGTAGATTAGCATAATTACCAACATGTGCATCCTGTCAGTGATGGGAATAGAAACCAGTTCTACTATTTCACAGCAGGTTGAGGGTAAGAAAATTTAAATATGCTCTTAAATATAAAACATGATAGAGCTTTTTAAGTGCATTTTGCTTTTAAATACTAATCATCAAAATCACTGTGTATAATATTTTTATTATTAAAATCTAAAAAAAGAAAGTAAATTAATAAGACAATAAATTACTAGTGATGCTACTTTCTACAGCACATTGCTTCTGCATTTACAGGTGGTCCAATTCCTTTTTTTATTGTGAAACAGTACAGCATATTTAAAACAGAACATTAGGTATTTCCTTCATAGAATGTTCTATTGTTTTAAAATGTCGGCCACATGAATCAAATAATTGAAAAAATAATACAATTCCCGATGTGTCACACACACAAATCAAATGAAGTGAGATGCACAGAAAAGCGCATAGTTTTACATGACCAATTTATTAATTATTTGGACAACACATGCTCCAGTTCCATCCTCCATGATCAAGTAGAGGAACATTTTTTATTTAGTGAAATTCTGAGTATTCAACAATCTCCATTTACTTTTGTTTATTAATCTCATTGTTCAGTATACATACTACAGTTCATTCTGCACTATTTATTCGGCATATCTATGATTTCATGTGATTTGCATGTGTGACATGTTGAGTAGTGTAATGTTGGAAAGTAATGTTTGTGTTACTAGCAACTATTATGCTGTTATGGGAGCACATACATCTTTCAAACTACTAATGTAAAAAGGACTAATATTTGTTCTGTTTTTTTTCAACAGGTACTGAGAGTCAAACAGGGAAGCTAAGCAAGTGCTATTGTAAACTAATCTTGTAATCTAAACAAGATCTCTGAGTGTTGATTTTGCAGTATGGCTGCGGACATGGCAAATTACAGTATCTGTGTTTGAAAATTGATGTGTTGCCAAAAGCATATACAGTTATCACAACATTCAGAGACATTTACAGTACATACCTAAAGTATAAATATTGTACTGTTTATACTGCATACAGTATATTTTACACAATAAATACTGTACCTTCAGTATTATTGGACATTTACATATATTAAACATTCAACATTGTTAAGAGGCACAGGAGATCACACACTCTAATATTATTATCTATAATAATTATTATTATTATTAATAATAATAATAATTATGGACACTCCATACAAAGCACTTTACAGGTAATGGAGACTCCCTTCCACCACCACCAATGTGTAGCACCTATTTAGGATGGCGCCTTTTTACAGTATTGTGTAATTCTGACTGACTATACTGGGACATAAGGACCCATACTAATGGAGCAGAGTGGTGCTTCTGTGGCTAAGGCTCTGCACCTGTGGCTGGAAGGTTGCCGGTTAAAATCCCAGTGGGCTCAGACATTGTGAGAGCTGACCTGCGGTATAAATCCCTGAATCCCAGGTAGTTCTCCTGCCACTCTACACTAACACTGTTCACTAACATTGTCTTTAAAAGCATATTATTTCTACCCTCAGTGTAACTCAAGCCTCTAATCAAAGCTCTCAGAGATCTATAGCTCTCCACAGCCTCTACAGACTGAACATCCAGTGCTTGTGGTGAAACGGCTGCCCACAGTGAAAAGAAGCCCCGTAGATTTGGCTACATCTACTGTATGTCCAGTGCACCGGAGAGCGCCAGTGTTCAGGGGTACCAATGTGCACTAGGGTAGGTTTGCTCTCCTGAAGGTGTCTCACTGGACCATGTTGTCTGTATATATGATCACACTGACAGCATCGCTCTGAGTCCACCAATGTGTGTGTATAATTATATATTGTACAGTATATGAGTGTACAACTGCAATTATGAGTGTATATGATTGTATGAATTGCATTTGATTTTCCATTACAACAGATGTAGGTAATGGATCACATGAACACCTTCCTAAAATAACCATATGTGGATCAGATGGTTTTGGAGGTTTGCATGAACCTCTAGTCAAACGTATACATTCTGGAAGAGCAGTACATGTGGCTATACTTTAGACCATGTTGTAAACTCTTTTTAACACAAGACCACATGTTCTAGACGTTATTGAAACACCAAGAGAAGCTATTGTAAAGCCTCGTGAAAGCAGGTCTTGTGATCTACTGATCTTAATGTGATAATAAGCATAATGCTTAACAATCTGAACTCAAGATAGAGGTGAGGTTGATTTGTGTGAATTCAAATCAGGACTGCTTTGTTTTATTAAATTAGATTAGTTTATTAGGAATAAAATAATACAAACAAAAGGCCTATGGAAAGAGATGAGGAAATGGTTGGGGACAGAGAATTAGAAAAGTACAAGTTGCTAAGATATAGAACAGTGTTAATAAACTCAAATTATAATTCAAGACAAAAGGTATCACATTACATTAAATAATCATCAAGATAAATATTTTACGCTATGTGCAAAGCATAAAACCAAATACCAGACTCCTACTTGCCATCACAAATATATGCTTTGATCTTTATTTTTTCATTTTTCCCATTTACTTATTGCCATACAGATGGTCCTTCGGTTTGATTTTGTAGCCTTGCATATAATATAAATAAGGCCTATTGATCTATAATTACTTGGGTTAATATATTCACCCTTTTTATGGATAGTTTTACCATAGACATTTTCCAATCAGTAAACATTAACTCTGTCTCAAGAGACTGCTGCCAGAGTTTTGTTAACACCATATGGATAACATCTCTTGTGTCCATAAGTACAATTGGTAGAATATGATGCCCAGTATATTTATCTGAAGTGCTTATCATACCTATACATTTCAACCTATATTAATATTATTTATTATAGGACTGATTTCTAAGTCTTCCATAGTTAACATCTGAGTAAATACTCATTAAAATACAGCCATTTCCGTTTCATTATCAAGAAGCAACATTTTTTGTCCCCTGTGAGCATCATGTGATCTCCAAGTTATGAAAGCTAACATAAAGACAAAACGCAATTTATATACACATTAAGAAAAACATTTACAGTAAGCAACATTACAAGAATAACAAAATAATGTCTGAAAAAACACAGATTGTCTTCTTCAGTGATAGCAAAACAGACTCCATTTACATAAGAAATGTAAATGTATAGCAGTATTTATTTATACTGATATAGAAGAATATGCTCCAAGAGCACCTTACATACAGAAGACAAGTTTTGTGATATATCTATTCAGATAGCTCAAGATTTTCCTCTCCATGCTCTAGTCCTTTTTGGTTTCTTAAAAGCAAGTGTACTATAAGTGTCTGGTATAACCATTTCACTTGTAAAATAAATGCTCTGTCTTGCTTCACAATATTTGGTGGAGGTTGCTAAACTATTATTTGAGGAATGTTGATTTCACTCTGGGCCCCTTGAAATCATGCTTGACAGTGGTGTGTCTGCCCTATAAGAGTTCTGTAAAACAAAAAAACATAACTATCAAAATAAATCTTTTTTTCCAAGTAAATACACAAAGTTGCTATTCCTATTATATTTTTTAGAATAAATATACATATTTAGAATATTAAAAATTATAAAAAAGAGATTTAGATTAGGGATTACACAATTAAACACATTTAATTTAATTGCTACTTGATAGTAATGACAAAGCTGAGACTGAAGGAATTAAATAATGACTGCTGTTATCAAGGGTAAATGGGAACGGGATTGAGCTGACTGCCGGTAAAACAGCTGGCAAGAAGGAAACTTAGTTCCTGATAACTTCCAGATGCCAGAAAAGAAGCACAGAAGCTGGATGAGGTGAATACAGCAGCTTCAGTCCTCATAAAAACAGAAAGAGTGTCACAGAGGTGATTCTTATAACTGTGGGCACTGTGGTTTTCAATTTAACTCTCTAAAAGAAAAATGATTCATTGGAAGCTTTTAATTGTTGTTCTTGTTTTTTATGACATCTTTACATCTACCGCCAAAGGGAGGAATGACGGTAAGACTGTTTTGCTTTTTTAAATTTTTCTTAATCTTTGATTTGTACTGTTACATACAGAAGTATATACATTCTTCTTTTTAAACACTCTTATTCAGTAATTCAAGAAATAGTTTACCAAACACTTGGTAATGGTATCAATACATGTGTTTCTTATTCCAGCTAACACCTTAAATATTTTTTGCTGCTCAACTCTTCATTCTTACTGAAATGTTCTCTTAGTATGACAACACACCACTAAAATTCAGGGCTTTAAATAGTTATTGGTTATTCTGGTTAATGGTTATTTGTTTATTCTGTTTTTGGTGTAAACACATTTCAACAAATTGTGAATGTTTTAACACTGACCAGAGTTATGTGGTATCTAAAGACATTTACCCTATGTTTTGCAGTATCTGTACATAAATTCAGAGGTTATTAAGATGCCTTTAGTAAAAGTATAGCACTCAAGATTAATTAAATTAGAATTTGCATCTACAAAATGATAGCAAGAACAGAATTTATTTCTCATGTGTTCAAGGTGATTATTTTTTATTTTAATAAACAAAACTATCACTATATCAATTTAAGAATTACCAGAAATTTGATGCCTCATAATTGTTGGAAGGGTTACACACTGGGAGCATGGTTTTATTTCTGTGCTTTAAGATGTCTTTCAGATGACCCGTTAAACTGAGGTCCTTACTACTCAGTTATTAAAAATCCCATAGCACTGTTCGAAAGAGGAAAGGTGTTAGCCCCAGTGCCCTGGAAAAAATCTTCTTTGGACTTCAACAGTCTGGCCTGCCTAAAGTCTTCCCTTAATCCTGTGGAAAAGCAATTTCCACTTCATCAGTTCTGCTGTATATTGATATTGATGCATGTCACCCAGGTGGATGCTGTACTTAAATGGTGTACAGTGGGTACCCTCTTGTACATGAAAAGTCCTTTGGAATTCTTTGACATAAAAGGCACTATATAAATGCAATTAATCATTAAATGTCAATTAATGAAAATATTAATGTTATTATATGTTATTATATGTTTTAACTTTTATTTTGCACATGTAAATTGAAGCAATTGTGATCTATTCTACTATTTCTGTTATCGGAAATATTTAAGACAATTAAGACAAATGCAGTGTAGTATCAAATTAAAATGATAAAGCATATACAGTATAAGCAGCCTTTTCCTCTTACATATTTCAAATATCCATAACCTTGTATGTCTAATACAGAGATTTATATATTTATATTTCTAAAACCAGAGAAATCATATCAGTATGCAAAGTTCAGCAGGCAAGATCCTGAGTTGCTCATCCAGTAAAGACATATGCTCTGAGAGAGAAGTTGACTATTACAGTCCTGACATAATTTATTCACACCTGGATCACCTGACTGGTCATAATTTCCCCTTCCAGTATCTTATAAAACACAGCTGGTGTTTGTAATCAAGGGTTATAGGCACAGGTGTAAATGAGAACTTAAATTAGAAATAATTCCCTTGACTCCAACTGGTCAGGTGACGGATGACAGCAGTGGCTCATTTATATGGAATTTTACCACTGAAGGGAAATCTTAGTAGCTGAGCATAAAAAGAATAGGAGCATACTGTAACGCGTGTGAAGGCCATAAACGATATTAATTTTGGAACACAAACATACAGTATATGGCTGGTCTTGGTACTTTAAAGAAACAATACACACCAGTATTCCATTTCTCCCTAAACATTTTAAGCATCGAAGTCTTTAACTAACGTGATACCGGAGTCAACAAGCATACTTTTAGAATTTGATGAAAAGGGAATATAATATGGAATCGCGTATCTAAAGAAATTAATAACGATATAATTATATTCATGTACTGCAACACAAGTATAGTACACACTGTACATTGTCTGTTGATAATGTTTCTGTTGTGCTTTTTCAGCACTCCGCATGTGACCTTGACGGTGGCGCTGTGGGTTAGGTTCCTGACTCCCACGTCACATGGTCTGTGATTGAATCCAACTGGAGCCATGACTTCTCTTTTTAACAAACATTTCTTTGAAAAAATGAAACATTTCCCTTGGTCAGAGATTAAATAAAACCTAACTCGCACCAAACAAATTTATATTTCTAAATATCACAACATGATCAAATTTAAGTTATTTTAATAACAATAACAATAACAATGAATAGTCACCTATGCGTTACAATATAAACATTTATATTGATTTAAATCGCGTTTTGATTTAAATTGTAAATACGTGTTTAAATATATGTGTTTTTTGATTCACAATCAGACAAATGCAACATAAATTGATATCTTTGTCTTCTAAGTATCTTAATAAACTTTCAGCATAACTTTCTCCCCGTTTAGATTTATTTTTCTTTGGATCTTGGGATCAAACGTGGAAAGATTAGATTGTAATCGTTTTTATTTTTTAAATACATTTTATAAAAGTGTAATCTATGCTAAAAAGTTGTACACCACCTGCTATAAAGATACATATTGTATACTTTCAGGTTCGGATAGGACAGACACGAGGACTCAGACTTGCGGAGTTAAAGCAAGTTAAAGCCTTGATTTTATATATCACCTTTAAAAGTGGAATCTCAAAGCAAAGTAAATACCCAACACTGATTGTACCCATCTGTCATGCTAAGAAAGCACCTTGAATTTAATTGAATTGAGGGAGTGAGGGGGGGAGGGCGAGCGAGAGAGCTAGGACAGACAGGCAAATAAGATACACTCCACAGACATTCACAACAGCGACATCATAAAACATTTGCACATATAGTTAAGTTATTACTTGGTTTTCAAAGTGCAATGAAATACAATATTATTGTTGTTGCTGTTATTGTTGTTTTTACCCTGTAAAGCATTTTGAGAAGCCAACTTTAAAGGCGATATAAAAAAGCGTTGATTCTTATGGAATGTGTTCCGCCGGGGATTCAAAAAAAATTATTTTTTTAATCGCGTATCTAAGGAAATAGCAGTATAACTTTGTTCATGCACAAACAGTGGCATGTTATATTATTAATTTGGGTGTCTCCTCTTGCCAGAGAGCTCTAAATTGCATATTGAGTGTGGTTTTTGACTTTTTCTATATTGCAACCCGTAAATAAAGCTGATGCAGTTTAGACTTTGAATTATTTAAAACTGTATTTCAGCAGCACAATGGACAATGCAACGTAAATTGCAAAAATGCACTTGGAATCTACGAAAATTATTTAAACTGCCACACTTATCATTCGTTCCATTTCATTCCATTATCAGTCTTCCATTTCTCCCTAAACATTTTAAGCATGAAAGTTTTATGAAACGGTACCCAAAATGCGATTGCTGTATAGAATGAATTTTAATT